CCATGCACATCACCTTCCTTCAGGAGCACAAGTTGAGCGCGCCCATCGCCAAGGACATAGAGGCGGCCAGCTTCAACAGGCACTACACAGCAGCACTGGTTCCAGCCGTCAGCGGCCCAGGCGGACGACCCTCTAGTGGGGTTGGATTTCTTGTGCCAAGAAATGTTGGTCTTACGTACCTTGAAGGCATGAATACGTTCGATATCTCACCACCTGGTTCGGCTGGGCGCGCGGCAGTGGGCTGGTGCTCTGCTGGACAAAAGGGTGGCCTCATGATTATCGCGGCATATTTTTGGACACGTGAAGGCTGGACGATTCGAAATTTGCCAATTCTGGAGGCCATTGCCACGGTCATCAAGCAGTATGACATACCGTGGATATTCCAAGCGGATTTCAACGAGACGGGGGAGTCTCTGATCAAGACGGGCTGGTGCCAAGATGTGGGAGGAGTTGCGCGTCTCCCCAACACTACCACGCGTGCAGGAGTCGGCGGTGGCAGTATCATCGATTTCTTTGTGGTCGACGCCCGCATCCAGCACGCCTTCGGAGATACGGTAGAAGTTTTAGACACCGCAGCCGCGCCCCATTCGCCAATCCGTTTAGTCATGCAGTCCAGGATGCGAGCAAAAGGCGGCTGGAGGCTTGCCAAGCCCAGACCTTTCCCAATGGAGAGGCCGTGCGGACCAGTCCCGCAGCCTGCACAGTGGCCAGACTTCGATCATCACGACGATTTAAGTGGCACCCAGCTCGATCAGATATGGAAGCAGGTCTCACACTGTGCTGAAGCAGAGCTGGTGAATCTCCTGGGCGTGGAAGAACCTCAATCCTACCTCGGTCGGGGTGGCCCTCCTCGGTGGACCTGGGCCCCCCTCGCTGGTCCTCAACCGCACGCGCGCCCCAGGGGAACACCCAGCTCCCGAGCCTGGCGGTGGGTAGCCGCACGAGCCAGTGATTTCATTTTCCTCGCACAAGCTGCCCAGCAGGAGGGCACCTGGATGCATGCACGCGCGAGACGAGCAAAGCTCGAGCGCCGCATCGGAGGAGGAAGGAGTCGGCTGGTTCATGACCCGGGGGAGGAGTCTGAGCACGTAATCGCCCAGTTTGAACGATTTTGCGCCTTTTGTCTCCAGGGCCCAGCGCTCATGGAGCAGGCCCCAGAGATCATGGGCCTCCAGCGTACTGCAGTAGCCAAGGCTCAGACCATCGAGCGGCAGCAGGCGGCCGCACGGTCAAAAGAATGGAGAGAACGTTTGAAGAAGGAGTCAAATGCAGGCTCTTCTTTCATCCACAGGATCAGCAAGTGGCGTACTCCTCCTCCCCCCGTTACGGGTTACTCTGTCTCCACCTCGAGCTTGCTGATCCTCAGGAAGCGGCCGACAGGGCCGCGCAAGAGTGGTTTGACGTTCGGGGCTCCCATGGGCAAGAAAGCACGGGTCCCGCTGACCGACCCTGGGAGGCCGCTCGGTTTGCCCACCCGTTGGTTCACCTGGACCGCCAGCTGTTTACCAACATATGTCTGAGTTTTCCTGCCAGGACGGGAATAGGTTCTGACCACTGGCACCCACGCTGGTGGGGTTGGCTTTCGGACGAAGGCAAAGACTGCCTCATTCAGCTCGTGACGTTTATCTCTCGCACGGCGCAGTTTCCATCGCAGGCAAGGTACATCACATATTTCCTTCTGTCGAAGGAGTCGGGAGGCACTCGGCCGATTGGGCTCCTCCCCTCCCTCATGCGTGTAGTTGAGCGAGCACGCTCAGGCCTTTTTCACGACTGGGAGCGCTCGGCCAAGCGCAAATATGACTTCGGGGGCCCTGGAGGGGGCTCCGAAGAGGCCGCGCGGCACCAGATGGTGCATGATGAGGGGACGCGTGAGGGGGAGGTGTCGGCGACGGGGGTGCTGGATCTGTCGCGTGCGTTTGAACATGTAACCAGGAGTGCCCTGTGGGCGGTAGCCCCTCTGTGCGGCTTCCCTCAGCAGCTAGCCAAGCTGCTCATCAGCATATACACTTCTACCAGGCTGGTAGCCTTTCGAGGGGTCCTAGCCAAGAAGTCGATGCAAACGTTTTCGGCCGTCGTGGCTGGATCGATCGGAGGCACCAGGGCACTTAAGATGGTGGTGCTACAGGTCACCGATGCTATACATCAAGCCTGGGGGGCTCGCCTCCAGATGAAATTATTCGTTGGCGACCTCAGTATCCAGGTTCGAGGAGCGTTGAGATGTCTCACTGTTTTGCAGGCTGCGGTCACTTTCTATATCCGTGAGATCGAAGGCACCTGGAGCATCCCTGTCTCCCGTGGTGCCCGCGGCAAAGGGTACATCCTCGTCGCCGCGGCCTCGGCTCGGAATCGCTGCGCCGCTTGGGCCAAAGACCTGGGCCTTGCCATCACCGACACTAGCTCACAGCTGGGAGTGGATAGCGCTGGAGGCGCTGTAGTTCGGAAAAGGAAGAAGATGCAGAAGCGATTTAAGTATGCATGCCAGCGCAAGGCTAAATTAAAAGCCCTCTCGAAGCAAGGGGCCCGCCTCGCCAGGGT